CAAACCCCCCCCCCCCCCCCCATCTCTCATTTCCTTAGGTTTGTTCTCTCCTTCTGAAAGTTCAACATATTGTTGTGGTCTTTTCTTTCTTTCTTTCCTTCATTCCTTCCTCCTTCCCTCCCCCCTCCTTTCCTCCCACTCTCCCTCTTAGCAGCCAGTTATGAGTGTGAACATACAATATTTCTGTTTCTTTGTCTGGCTTACTTCACTTAACATAATTCCAGCATTTCTACTACTGGGTATATATCCAAAGGAATGGAAATCATCATGCCAAAGGGATACCTACACTCCCATGTTCACTGAAGCTCTATTTACAATGGCCAAAATATGGAACCAACCTAAGCATCCATCGATGGACAACTGGATAAACAAAATGTGGTATATATACACGAGGGAATACTACTCAACCATAAAAAATAATGAAATTCTGCCATTTGGAGCAACATAGATGAGTCTGGAGAAAATTATGTTAAGTGAAAATACTTCATCTTTTTAAAGTGTCCCCAAGCCAGGCACATGTGGCATGGTAGCAAATGACCCTAGTTCAGTTCAGCAAAGCCAACCTTTGATGTCTTCCTGACAGTTACTAGGAACAGTATAATGACCTATTTCTCAGATACAGATTTCAGAAGGCATTCAAACCTACATGGATAGTGAGAAGCATCCACACACTCTGACGGAAAATACCAACAGTGACCAAAGAAAAAGGAAATGCCAACGTGGGGTTTATGGGGAAAAATATTTCCACACATGAGAAAGAATTTACATCCTAAAAACACAGAGAAGATATCTCTGAATAAAATTTAATAAGAAACCAAAAGATAATTTTAGAAAATTTTTATTTGGCATGGATTCAAATAAAGATGCACAAGCAAGCAAAAATGAAAGAATGATATAAAGATAAAAAGCATACAAGATACAAAGACAACAGGCTGAGAGAAAAAGGGAGCTGGGTTACATAATTTTGTAACAGCAAAACTAAAATCCACATTGATGAGGAACATAGTGTTCTTCCTTCGCCCAATTATGTTAGATAAA